CATAATCTTAATATATTGTAAAATATAATAAAATTAGAAGTGCCTAGAAACATATCCACACTCCTTTCCCAGGCCGGCTGCAGCTAACGGGCACGGTCACGCACGCACGGCGTCCACAGACGCACGCAACGCACGCATCACGCACGCACGCACGCACGCAACACAAACAACACACACACCAATACACACACACGCCCAAATATATAATAAATATATATATACTATACTAAATATTTAACACACAGCTTGTACATTTTCTCGCTCAGTGGGAGTTGCAAAGCCAAGCCAAAGAGCATTCAGTGTCTGTCCAGCAAGCTGAACCCACTACGGAGCCGGCAATGACACCCTTTATCTGACTAACGAAGCCCTATGAAAGAAGCGAAAATCTGCCGTGGGGCCATCCTACGTGCCATAGATTTCTTAAGATAAAATACCCAACTGTTCTTTCTTCACGTGGCATTATCTGCACACAGCAGAGAGGATTCAGCTTAAAAATGGAAATATCGTAGCATGAGAATATAATCGTATATGACATCTTATGAGATACGTATTTGAGTAGTATTGATTACAGTATTGGTAATGAGATTGAGCAGCTACTGATATGACGCTGAAATAAGAGGACAGAAGTTGAACAAGCACCTCATCAACTCAAGTCTGCTGTAAACAATCACATCAATAATACCAAACAGCAAGAAAAAATTCGTTTACAATTCGATTTCAAATCACCCTATCAGCAGCTCAACTGATACCTCCACCGCATTACATATACGCATGCAACAGCGATATATTTTCTGAGATAAATTATTCTTACGTAGAAGCGAAGGAAAATACTGTGCCCACTAAAACATATCAAGATGAAGATAAATACGCCAGTGCAACACATGAATGTAAATCAAAATGAAGCAAGTAAATTAGTCAATAACAACACTAACCAATAGTACCCTCTATAATATTACTTAAATGTTGTAAACATGTGTTGACTTCTAAAAGTACCAAGGGAGGCTGGAGAGTAGCATCAGATCATTAAAGTATTGACCATACCCACTGTAGAAGTCTATTACTATTCACAGGCTGAAGTGATCATTAACCTTTTAAAATGCATGTAATAGCTCCTCAACTGCACCAACTGCTAAGAAATTTCTGCGGAGTGCTACACCTCCGCTCTGTTGCCACATTGATATCAAATTCAATGAGAACAAATTAATGTCCCCCCCGTTTTCCATTTAACTCATGATAATATATATATTTAAGCAGCTAAACCACCTGTAATTAGAGGCAGTTTGCCATACAAAGCTTAATTAAGTTTAAACGGCGAATCCAGTGTACAATTATTATATATCCTATATACCTGTAGGGACTTATAATAACGAATAAAGACATGCGGTAGTTAGCTAATACCATCCTTGTACTGAAAAAGAAAATTAACATAGTTAAAGCAACATCAAGAATAGAAAAGATAACAGATAACTGAATTGTGAACAGAGAGCTATTACAGTAGAACTGTAGATGATACGAGAAGCAGAATTAATTTGTTTGCAGCAATATTGACGTCAAAAGATACTTGCAATCGCATCATCAACATAGCAAAGTGAAGCTTTATCATTATTAATTATGAAATAATAAATCGTCTTTGTAATGGTTCGCAAATGTGTGGACAATTTTAATCAAACCTCTCCCCACCAGCCTATAATGTACCAATACTACTGAAGCAGATTTCAGCTTACACATACAGTGTATATCAAGAGTCTTTTATGTAAAGGGTGATGAGTCCAATGTCGGTGGTGTGTGGTGTGTGTGTGTGCGTGCGTGCGTGCGTGCGCGCAGCGTGCGTGCGTGCGTGCGTGTGTGGGTGGGTGGGGGTAATGATCACAGCCTTTTATATTAATCTATCTAGAACAAGATTTAAGAGTGCTCGGTAGGAAATGTACATATATAACGTAAAAATATGACACTAAAGCAATATTCTAATTCAAACTCTCATTAGATACAGTACCACTTTATCAATTGCAAAACCCTTAGTGATGCGTGAAAAGAGAAATATAAATAATGCACCCGAGTGTTGCTGTCAGTGGAGCATGAGTCAAGCAAATGGAAAAAAACCAACCACGAGCTCCCTAACCCTAACTGCTAGGTAACACTACTACAGCAGCTGAAGCTCGACATCATTCAGTATCAGCAGCTGTCCAAAGCAATTCCCTTGAAATAGCACAGCTAAATACAATTATGCGACAGAGTTTATCTTGAATTTGATGACTCTTACTATGAAAGAATTTACGCCCTTTAGAGCAGTACTATTACCCGCAGGTGCCTATAAATAGCTTTTAGAGACGGCAAACGAACAGCAACAGTGCGGGTAAAAATAGAGTCTACACAAACACATGTATGCTGCGCAGCCATTAGTACTAGTAGTGGGGGAGCCCGGAAAAGTGCAGGCCACCGGATAGGAGCCAGAGGCGAGAGAGAAACATACGATGGCGCCCAGCATTTTGCAGATATTATACAAACAGAAGCTTTCCCTGTTAAGAAGGAAGATGGGCTGTGGTGCTGTGATAGAGTAGTTAGAACATATAGCCTTCGCTCCGCCCAGGTGTGTGGCGCGAGCGAAGGCTATTTTCTTAGAGATAGGACAGGGGACGAAGAGAGTAAATAAGTCTCCCGCCCCTGTTTGATCTGGCCGTTATAGCTATTCGACAACCTAACCTAACCTATATAATTAATTAGTCAGACATAAAGCTAACCAGTTCAGGTAAACAGAAGGTCAGCGCAGAACATACCGCACTTACTCGGCAAGAAGTAGCAGGGGGGCACGTATATTTACTGATTAGAACTACACCTAAAATTTAGCAATTCAACAATTCGTATTTTGTAATAAGGTGAACCAAGGTACTCGAACCTGCCTATAAAACATATCACCGGTAAAAACAAAACAGTAAAACTAGAATCCTCGCTATCCATCTTGCTTGATGCGTTCATGGTATATAATTCCTTACCAACCTACCAACACTACCTATATTTTATACTGTTATTATCGAAAGATCGGAAACATCCACAAAGACAGCTGCAGGGGGTGTACAGTTTGTACAGGGGGGTTACCGTAATTCTAAACTGCGAGCACGGAAGGGGGGGTCTGAAACATTTGAAATTAGAACCCTTAGAATGACGTTTCTGCGCGCGCAGGTGGGGGTCAACCCCTGGTCCCCCCCTTCAGCCCCATACGTCAGCAACTAACTGATCCGACACATAAATAACACCTTTTTTATAAAATTTATAAGAAATCATCGAGGCTTGATTTCCCAAATTTTAAGAATTTTTAAGAATAAGCTGAGGCTCGATCATCAACACACATGTCACTGCGATGACGACGGCGACGAGTGATTGACAAATGAGATGATCCGATTCATGACTCGACATTATGCGGCGTAGGGTGAAGTTCATTAGAAAAGGGTGCAATGAATGTCATCTTTGAAATACTTCAAAGACCGACATACATACAATATCGCGTTTCCTACCCCAACGGAGTGAGGATAATATTGGCGTCGAAAGACATTGACAGGGTATGAAGTAGATTAACGTTAATTTAACCAATTCTGCGTCACTATTTTGAAATAGGAGGTTACTTTATTTGGTTATACATGTTTTTATTGGATATTAGATTTTTCCTTTTCGTTCAATCCAAAGGTTTATTAATGCATCCGCATTTAAACAATTTTATAAATGAAATATAAGTCGATTTTTCATACAATATTGTAAGAATTAATTTAAGATATTAAGGCTCAAAATTCGAATTTTCTAAGATCACGAGGCCTCAAAAAAAAAGCAAGGATTCTATAAACAAAAAAAGTGTGTAAAAGCCATGATTGTGTGGCCTAGTAATTAGTACACATGCGTGTCATTTACAATAATGTATGAATTTTGTTACATGTAACAGTGTATATCACTGTTTTAATAAGTGTATAATTTGTTACATATGTATAAGAGGTATATTCATTTATAGTACGATACATACTATGTAACAGTGTGTTCGGATATGGGAACTTAACCCTGATAGTAGACGCCACAGCTATTTAGTCATAATCCTATGGTATAGTCCTTGGTTCTATGTAAACAATGTTGTACGGTGTGTAATGCTTGCCAGCCTAAGCCTGTAACACAAAACCAACACTCGATTTCAGCTAACATTTTCAATACAATCATACGAGTGCAGTCAAAGAAGTAATGCAGAACCATGTGAAGAGCCATTCCCTACATGTACATTATCATTGGGTGAACCTACATGTACGTCATCAGGGGCGTAGATAGCGCGGGGAGGGATCAATCCCCCACTTATAACGTGGGGGTCATACGTGTACAAATCATCCCCCCCTACTTTCAGAAGAAAAGGGGGATATCCAAATTTCTGGGAGGACCGCATACCCCCCCGCCTGTTCTTAACCACCCTCTCTTCGAATCCTGCATGGTCACTGTCGCACAACCCATCAAGCGCCCGGGCCGTAGCGTGTAAATACGATACGATGTACAGTTTGTATACTTACGTCTTCGAATATAGATCCGACATTTGCAGTTATCAACAGCACAGGCACTGATGTATCCATGATCTCCTGTGCGACAAATACCGTTGGTTTCTTTAAAGTAAATCTGCACAAGTTCAGAATGCACAAAAACACATCAACAACTTAACGATCACCATGTCAATAGAAATGCTTCCTTTCCAGTTCACTGGCGCGATGGGACGGGCCATATGATTTGACGTTTTTCTGTTGACCAATCAAAATCAGTTGCGCTACACTAAAATTACTCAGTTCGTGCTGCCACCCCGCGGGCGTCATCTTCACTAAACGACATACACTAAAGGACGCTGACCCATGTGAGAATTGTAGTATTTATCAGTTAATTAGTATTTTCTCTCCTCAAAATCTATGAGCAGCTGTCTCTTGGTGTCTTGGAGGATACGGAACTTGATACAGATTTTTACATCTACCCGCGAGAATTAACTCTACTTGTGTTGTTAAGCCGTTATTCGATACGTCACAGTAGGTGGTTTAGCCATTTACCAATGTACGTACTCCCCCATTAAATTTATCGTGTAAACCAGCTATTCGCTTACCAAACACTGGATATGCGCGAACACACGCCTAACCCCATTTGATCTTGTTAGGAAATTCGAGAAGATTGTATACACCTCGTAATAAACCCTTAAGCCTCGTCTACACGACGAACCTTAACTCGAGTTAAGCGTTAACTCGAGTTAGCGATTATGTAGCGTCTACACGACGAACCTTAACTCGAGTTAAGCTAACTCGAGTTAGCGATTATGTAGCGTCTACACGACAACACCCGATAGCGATTATTACCGATTTATTATGCATGCGTGCGTGTGTGTGTATGTAAACGTGCGTGCGTGTGTGCGTGCGCGTGCACGTATACGTGCGTGCGTACGTGTGTACGTATACACGTGCGTTCGTGCGTGCGTTCGTGCATGCGTGCGTGCGTGTGCACGTACACGTGCGTGCATGCGTGAGTGCGTACATGTGCGTGCATGTGTGCGTGCGTGCATGTGCACGTACACGTGCGTGCATGAGTGTGTGCGCGCGTGCGTGCGTGTGCGCGTACACGTGCGTGCGTGCGTGCGTGTGCACGTACACGTGCGTGCATGCGTGAGTGCGTACATGTGCGTGCATGTGTGCGTGCGTGCATGTGCACGTACAC